CCCGAATGAACACTATCTCCGACGCACTCCGGGTAGCCTATTTTCTGCCATGCCAGCGCACCAATGCCTCACTCACACGTTGGTTCGACTGCCATTTACAGCGACGTTTTCCCGCAGCACTGCTGTGAACATGAAAGAAGCTATAGCAACGTAACTTTTTTTAAGATTTTTTACGCACCCCCTTCACCTGATAAATACAATAGAGCATATGCACAAGTATCCATGCGTACGATGTATAATACAGGTTCCAAGCTGCTATGTAGACGTTGAACATCCAACGTAACTTTCAAAACACGAATATGGTCAGCCGTGTAACAACGGAGAATCGTCTGCGATAACAAAAGGAAACATTTTAGACAACTGTATTTCGATCCTGATCTAAATAGAGCTGAAGATTCTTTATGGAGAACGTGATACTGGAGAAATTTCGTGATGCTCACATAGAGAAATAACAATTTCTCATTACTCATCTGCAATGGATACAGTCTAACCAGAGAACATAATATCAGTACAATTCAGTAATTAAACAGCACTTTAAAAAAATATAGGTGACCCGGGCTTAATTTGATTGTCAGGTCTCACCGTAGAGGCATAAACGGTAACGTTCAAATTCTTTCGGAGAGCTATAACAGTTCTTATTAAATCTACATGTTCCTAGATATTAACAAACTAGCTAGATTGATACCATGATATTTATATATTGTACTGATGGTTTTCACTTTAATTAATTGTTAACAATATTCGATTTCTAGTGAAATAACCCGGCCTATATGTAAAGTGCCGATGCTGGACTAATCCTGTGGTGCTGCGATGTGTCGAAAATTTATACAGAAAACAGCTTCGTTTGCAAAAGAGGATTCTCTAGCGAAACAGGATAAATAGGTCATCCTGCAAAAAAAATCCGATATAAATATTTGACCCCATTTTTTTTATTATAGTCACTATAAAACTTCGAAGTACATTTTCGCAAAAAGCATACGGCTATATGTGCGCGTGTCGTGTGTGAATCAACATATATCCAGCACTAAGTTCTGGTAAGAACTGATTATTTGCAACGCAAGAACTTGACGATAGTCAAAACGACAGGGATAGTCTGTGGCAACGCACAGAAAACCAGGACTATCCAAAAAGCGGCTATGAATGATGTTAGATATACGCTAGCGTTTATGCTTTGCCTATCGCCGCGCTATTGTGTTTTGTCTAGTTCGATCGCCATCTGTCCCCAAATCGTCCCCTCGCTACACGATGACCTCGTTTGTTCGCCGACTTTTCACTTATAATACCGTGCAGTATATTTCTCTCCGAATTAGTTAACAGGCCTTGAGACTCATCATACTCCTGTTCCCCTGTCATGTACGGTTTCGATCTTCTTTCAGCTCATACCGAAAATTTGTTCGGTGCAGTTCGCAAGCCTTGCTCTGACTTGCCATCAACTCTCTTGGTCGCCGGCCAAGGCCGACTACAAATCATGTCTATACTAGTGGTCTTGTATGTAGCACCCGGGCATGTGGGTGGTAATCTCTCTGGACCATTGAAGCTGTTGTTACTGCACGAGAAACGATGGAAAAGGCTATAGCGGTCCGAGGACGCAATGGTAACGTACGTTACGACATCGTTGATGTAACGGTGCTGATGCTGCAATGGCTCCGCATCCCGCCAGCTAGTGAGAAGGACGGATACGATCGTCTGGGCGAGCAGAAAAGTGTTGCCGTTTCAAGCTACGGTCAGCCCGCTTCACCCCCATCTCTCTTTCAATATATATGTATATTCTCTCTCTCTCTCTCTCTCAAACCCCATTTTGCTGTCCCGCGTGTTTACCCCTCTTCACCCCTCTTTCGCTGTTATACTCTTCCCCATAAAGATTTCCTCTGAGAACTAGGCGGCAGCGTACGGCTGGCGGGCCCCCCTTCAATTCATTCGATGCCGTTGGCGGCTCGATGTCTGACTGACGTCGCATTGCTGCAGTGTAGTGCATTAAGAGCAGTGGCACGTCTGATACTGGAAAGTAGTTAAAGCGAACCGTCGCAGTGTTGCTACTGTTGAAGTCTCAGCGGAAAACGCCGACATTAACCCAACGTCCTATTGTCCCTCGATGTCCCATTCGATATAGAGATATTATTCTCAATTCTCTCTTTCAAGCCGCGACGAAGACATTGGACCTTTCTTGCCGACATGCGCACTTCCCACTACTTTCCTACTATTCGTTCGCTTCGTGGAGCCGCCCGTATACATGGGAGACTACGTTCTTCCTGTGATCCTTCGCCTTTTCCGACCTTTAGTCAGTAGCCCGCCATTGTTCTCTCTCTCCTCTGTACTATCAGTACAGAGTCGCATGCACTGGGAATTAATTTTTCGTCAACTTAATCGGACCGATAGTACTGACGTGACCGCGAGTGCATATCGTGCAGCGCTTGAACTGACACCGCCTTCGTTAACTTCTGTCTATTTCCCTTAGTGAATAAAGTGTCTGTGAATTTGGTAATTCGCGTTATAGTTCACAAACTGCTATTGTAAACTTATCTATTTTTTCGATTGGCCTTTTCCCTTTCTTGTGGCTGCTATCGTCGGCTTGATGTACGTTATGCTTCGTTGGTAACTTTTATGTGGTGCCATTTTTTGAGACTTTATTGAATTGCTTCGGCCAAACAGAGGCGACGAACCCTCTTCCCACTGAAGTCTCATTCGGAACGTGAAATCTGGGTGAACTGAAGTGAGCTAGATAGATAGGATGATCGACTCGGCTAATCTCATGTACATAAACAAGTGAATTTTATAATGAAGAAAGCGCGCATAAGTGGTCGCAAAGCTACACATGCTTAGAAGGAAAGCCTGACAATTTTAAAAGTATGCTTCTTTTATCATTGTCTACTCTAAAAGTCTACGGTCAGACAGTGACGTTTGCAGCAAAGGGAAGAAAGAAAATTCGTCTTGGAAGAGATCAAAAAACTTTGGTTGAAATGCCCGACAAGATCATAAAGGATACATCTATCAACTCGCCATGCCCTTTTGGGCTTCCTTATTTGTAAACTATATTGCGCTGCCTTGGTAACACCGATGCTTTGCAATGGGTGATCTTATCTATGACGCGTTAAAGATGCACGTAAATGCGGGGCTAAGTAAACGTATTGCTGCGTTGCTGCTAAAATTAAATGAAGGGTAAAATAGTCTTGCGGATAACAACAACAAGACCTAATAAAGGTATCATTGAACTAAGATTATTCCTAGTACATAAACGATAACATTACCCATCATTAACCAAACAAAAACTAATTGTTATTATTACAGTAGATTTATTTCGTATTAATAATAACTGCAAGTCCAAAAAAAGACAATATACATTATTTTCTTTCGATAGGCTTAATGTCTAGTCTAATTTTACGCTTTCGTCGAAACGTATAGCTCGCGTTTGGCGAACGCGCTTAAATAACAGTACGGTAATAATGCTAAACCTCTATATAATCATTATCAATATCATCATTTAGTTGTCGATACAACACATGTACTTTGGTATTGTACAAAAATAGTGATCGCCTACTCGATCATTAGCCCCTTGTTATCCAATCCTTCCATTATGTCAAGGGTCTCCCTGTTCCAAAGCCCAGATCGCCTGGTTCCTTTCGTCTCGGGCTCCGACGCCAATCTGCTCGACCGTTTGATAGCATCTGTCAATAGCATTCAGTTTTTTTCACCTTCCACTTGCTTATACGTGCTCCTTTCTTACTCGCCATATATATATATATATATATATATATATATATATATATATACCTATATATCTGTTTTTGTATGTACTACAACTTACGCCTCTTGCAAGCGCGCTGTGTTTAAAGAGTGCGTCTTTCAGGGGGCGTCTCCGCCTAATGTTGAGCCTGTCACCACTCGCTGATCTGCGAATCCCTAAACTATTCATCTATACTTAACTTTTTTTATAGAATTGATTTTTTGTTTGTCGTGTAAACATCATCATATGATATTAGGTTTCCATATTTGTTACTTTCTTCGTATTGCGATTGCGCACTCCGTCAAGCCTTCGCGGGTCAGCTTTGAGTTATATTGAACATGCTCTAAGTCACAAATATGACCAGTTCGCAGTTGCTACCATAAACATACAGTCACCTCTGTCGCGGTCGATTTCCTGGGGTTCTACGCTGGTCCAAGATAGTGTTTTGCGCTTGTATAATGACGCGTTTCTTCCGTAATTCTAGTTTCGCATTTCTTAGCAGTTGTAATAGCAGCAACAACAGCAGCAATTTAATGACATTGGCATCTTTGTATTATGAACCCAGTTGGGTGGTGCCCTCAAACGCATTCCGGCGCCTCTCGAACTTCATTCTTGTACCTCATCTCGTTCGTCACGCGCTCTTGAATTTTTCATGTCTTCGTCAGGTCGACTATCTATTAACTATAGCACATGCGTACTTATAGCTTTAGTTTAAATCATCCACTTTATTTACCGACCGCTAATGACCGCTCGGTCTCCATTGTTAAATTTTGCTGGTAAATACTATACAAAACATGATCGTTAATATAGGAGCTAGTATGTCCATCAGTTTTGTCGCATTGGAATAGACAGGCCTGAATCAGATAGAGTTCTCTAACTGGTAGCCAGAACCAACGCGGACGAATCGATGAAGCCAGCTGAAATAGACTTTGCGCATCGATCGAATTTTAAGGCGCTTGGCCCTTTCCTCATTATCGCGACCTCGTCTTCCGTCCTGCTCTAAGTTTATTGGTTTGGCAATAAACTCGATTTACTTGTGTCTAACTACGAATAATATCGATCTACCTAGGTACAAATATTTTTTGTATTACTTATGGCAACAAAATCCTATAAAAACACACGTCACCTCCCTTCGGCTCTATTTCCTGCTCAGTCTCATCTTCCGTTACCCGTAAATTTCGCTGAGATTCCATGTTATCTATTAGTACAGCATACTCTAGTGGCATTACTAGAGTTTATCATGCTCTTAAAGTTAGTTTTGCTTTTTTCTTAAAGTTAGTTTTTTTTTTTTGAGATGCCTTTACTTCTCTGTCCCCATACAACGCTTTCAACAACATGTAACCGACAAATATTTGTCATCGGCACCAATACGAAATTCGCGGACAGTCTTTGAAGTAACCTGAACTTCACTACACATTTTTCCTTCAATCTCTCACACTTTTCTACAACGGATCCGCAGATGATCCGTCCATACGTTTGTTTTTTTTTGCTTCTGGTGGAAATCTTCGTTTGGCACGTGAAATGATTGTTTGGCACCAGTACATACGTGTAACTGCGGAGTCAGCTGCCGTACGGATCGGTCAACCAATCAACATGTATATATATATATACTCACCTTGAGAACACACGTCCCGCCATACGTTACTCGAATCGATTGTTATATAATAGACACGCCAAGGTCTTGGGCGAGACGATCTCTGTCGTCTCGGTTATATTGCTCTGATTCCTAAACTCTGATTTCGTCATACGTTTAGTGTCTGACAGCTTTAGCAACCTTTACTGAGCTAGATTTGCATCCCAGTCATCAGCAGTTACTAATTGTCTTGTTTTTTTTTTTCTTTTTCCTACTATCATTATTATTCGTATAGCAGAAATGGTGACAGTTCGTTGAGGAGCATAGAACGTGTGTATATACAGAAACAGGTTATGATTGTTGTATCTGCTGGAAGAAGCGTTGATTGGAACGGTCGCGTTGCCGTTGGGAGTCAATGTGATCCACCGCTGCTCAGATCTTGTGTGTTTCGGCGATATCACTCGTGACGTGCGGTGTAGAAGGGGTTGGTAAATAAGTCGGATTATCGACGCCGGAATCATCGTCAAACTGTAATGAGCGGAAGGTAAACACATTAATAAATGATGTACACATAATTTTTCACCTACGTTTTACATAGAGCTATCTATCGTTGCTCACGTTTTTGTCGGCAGTAAAAGCGCTAACGCAACGACACATATCTTTTTATTGCTACAATCAACTAGCAAACAATTCACTTATATCCAAAGTAAAATCATGAGTAGATTGTTATTTTCCATCGATCGCTCGCTCGCTAACGAAAAGCTTAATAAAGTAATAAGTAATCCGAATACGGCCCTGCCTACTGCGTTAGAATCACTTCAACCTGGCAGTACCGACCGTTAGGTAAATTACGTCTAGTTGATTACATGCATTACTTCTATTGCAAATCTGAAGCCACCTGAGCGTTTAAGATGTCGAGCTATGAACGATCGACAGCAGGCCCGTAGCGCCCCGCACAGTATACGCATATGTATATGCAGTGTCATATACATATGCTTTAAAGGCGGATACAAAGATATATCGATGGTATAACAGCCTTATTGGAGGGAAGCGAGAGAGAGAGAGAGAGAGAGAAACAAACGCCATATAACCTCGTGAGGATGAATTAGCTGGATGGAGGCGACGAGCTGGCGCTACTCAAACAGGCTGACACAGTCACAATCTTGTCGTTTCTGCCACTGCTCTAGCAGCTTCTGTTATCGCTATAGCGACTGGCGACGGTGGCTGTAAACTGTCAACAACTGCACTCCCTCAGGTCGTAACAAATAAGCGGTCGCGCCTGATGATGCTGATGAGGTTACTGCTGCTACCGCTGTCCTATGTTGCCCCTTTCCATGCTCGTCTCGTAGTAATATGCTATGGCGGTCGCTACGACTGTGACCACCGCTAGCCGTCTGTGCCTCGTTCCTTCCCGCCTAGCGGATATACATCACTTTCATTCTTCATTGTAGTATGATAAACGAAGATTTGACCACTCTGCTTCTGTTATTCGCAGTCGACAACCTGGTTGACGACCGATCGTCCTCAATAACAGTCGACTGTCTTGTCTTCAGCGCAGACTGTCTCTGCTTATCGTTCATTGTTCGCGGCAATTGCAAGAGAACGAAGCGGTAACATAAACATCGATCGCAGTTAATAGCGCTGTATGCGGATTGTCCTTCATTCCAACGAAGTTGCCCTCTTAGATTCGAACGCCCCGAGCCTTACAAAGTTCGTGCCAAGCCCCTCTGCCGCCATGCAAAGGAACCATTAATGTATAGTTGCACTAGAACGTTGCTTATCGTACTCATGGATGGATAGAGGCAGCAAGAGACAGCGATGATGCGAGGAAGCAAGGAAGCACAATGAACTGAGAGGGCTGGCTGTTTGCTGTCGTGTGTATGGGGCGTTGTTAGATATAGGGTAAAATATTTCGATGTTACTAATGGCTCATTGTTGACATGGCGTCAATTTACAGCATTTAAAAGCATTTAAATTTTATTGGTTTAACGCAAAAAGAAGCACAACGGGCGCTTAACGGAAGTGGCAATGGAGCGAAGCAGCCGAGGCAAGTTACGCCACTGGCCCATGGCACGATATGGTACAAGGTAAAGCGTCATTTGGCAATGAATTTCAGTTATTGTTGTCCTTAGGCTGTTCTCCTTGTCCCACAAAACGAACCGGTAAAATTATAGAGACATTTATTTTCTTCACCGTAGCGTCCACAACATATAGCATTGCTGGCTTACTGCTTATCTGTGCCTTTCTGCTAGGAAGCATTTCGCAGATAGATCAGGCAAGAGAATGTACACACACCTATTCGTATATATACGTGCATATTCTTAGGGGTACTTACGTACATGCCTAGATATCAGTAGTAGGCTGCCTCTATCATGTTTTTTGGACTTCGACTACACCCACTCTTTTACTCGATTTTTTTTCTACACGAATGGAAAAATAGTGCAGTACCAGTGTATGTAGCAATGCGCGCATGTTTAGTGATAGTGACTACTGAATGAACGAGCGGGCAGCTTGCCAGCCAGCAGCGCCACCAGCTACAAGGTTTGCTACAAAGATATATTGTTACGGCTTCTTTTGCCCTTGTACCCCGTAAGGTTGTATCTATGGAATAGGATGATATGGTGACGACGGCGAAGATGGCAGCAGCAGCAGAGACGGCTACGAAGACAACCTTCACCCTCTGCGCCAACAGCGTCTGCCCGGTTGACTGGTCGCCCCCCAACTAGTCATTTCGTTGCCCCTTTCGTTGGCTTCTTGCCTGCTTCGGTTGCCTTCGTGCTTCCTTTTCCCGTTCGCTTCGCTCGCTAAATTCTCAGCAGCAAGCAGGCCACTACCGTCACGACTAGTAGTGTTTGCAGCATCTTCTTTTTCTTTCTTCAGCCACCGCGTTTTGCCCTTATTTTTTCCTCATCAGCTGTCGCTTGTCGTTTTTTCCTTTTCCGCCACCCTTCTACTTGAGACTGCAAACTCATCGTTGGCGGTATCGTCTTCGTCGAAGTTTTCGTCCTCTTTTTCCAGCTCCCCTCCAAATCCTGTTCTTTTGCAGCCACTAACGTCGTATAAGAACAAACATGAGTAGGAACGCAAAGACGGCCGTGCCTCAGATGCTATTGCGGCTAACGCCGTGTAGGCATAAGTCGAACTCATGCAGTATAAGGTACTGTCAACGAGTACCGAGTTCGGTCGGGGATGGACGAAAGAAGGAACGAAGGGGACGTTACTACACGGAAAAAAGCAAACTGTAGGAAAGTACTGCTTGTGCAACGGTGTGCCGCGTCCAGTAATAACTCCACTAGAGTAGCTCCACTAGGCATATGTCGGTTTGTATAACAAACTGCCCGGACTGCGCACAGGTTCCTGGTAACGCCTGCAACGAGAGTCTCGTACAGGTCGTTCGATGGCTACTTTTGCCGCTGATCTTGCCATTGCTGCTTCTAGGTTGGAAAAGCCCTTAGTGAAGTGTAGTAGAACGATTGTGTCGGGAAAACTGGCGAGTACAAAAATGTTACCGCCGCGTTGCTTTCTATGCCTGTGCCAAGCCCTGACTTAGCACCTGGTCCTGTTTGGCCGTTATCCCTCAGTTCAAGCCCCTTTAACTTTTTTTATTCGCCGCCTTTGGCTAGCGAAATGACCAGGGTAGACGCAAAGGCTGGTTGCCAGCCGACTAAAGGGTAGAAAGGAGGAACAGGAAAGTACTGCAAAACGAGCTGCAACTCCAACCCCTTCCACTGTTCGAACGAGCGAAGAACAGCAGCGGTAGCATCAGCACCACGGTAGCGGGCCGGAAGGTCTCCCAGTAAATCAACTACCGAGGAAGCGAGCGAACGAGCACCGAACCAACTCAGCAAGACTTCACCCGGCGTTGCCTTCGACCATCTTCTTAAACTCGTAACGCGTACACACAACGTCATAGGCCGGAAGACGAACTAAGAACTTTTAGGCGCCCCAACGCCACCGCGACTGCTGCCAGGCCATTACAACCACCTCGATATGCCATAGCCCCACGAGCGTCAAGCCTTCGTCGACGACCACCCGGTACCAAGTCTACGTTCAACGTTTGCGCGAAGTGAGGCATTCACTCTTTACACAAAGAGGAGTTCATGTGTTATACGACGGGCGAACGCACCGTCTCGCCGTGTCCCGTCTCCTCCCGCTGCTTACAATACTCGATTTCGCGCGCATGATGATAGAAAACGCCACGGTTATTTAAGAGGGACTTGCAGGACGCGGGAGGAGGGCGGGGAAGGTAGTCGAGGTTGGTTCTTTGAAAGTTAGCAATACGGAAACCCTAGATAGGCAGTGCGACGACACAGTGCGGTGCGCTCAAATAGCATAAAAACCTCATGTCCTGCTGCTTTCCTGCTTGCTTTTGCTCATCAATGGATATTATTCATTTAGGGGGCAAAAAGCCGTGACGGGAATTTGGTAACTGTGCAGGTCCAGTGAGATATACCCTTACAAATTTACAAGGCTACATAAGCTGGCGACATACAATCCAGATAAGGTTTCAGCTATGGAACACAGAAGAAATGTGTACAACAGTTAAAACGTCAACGTAATACAAAAAAAGGCTGAACGAAACAATCCAGCCATGGAAAATCGAACAGTCTAACGGAACCTTTAGGCTGGCCATTAGTCAGCATTTTCATGACTGCACTGTAATGTAACCGAAGAAAAGATTTAAGGACAAAACGGTATTCCAAAGATACTACTCTGATAAAATGAGCTACCGTCCCCGCATATTTGCTTTTTGTGGGACCCTTGTTTAGTCACTTAGGGGATCACGTATTCTGAACCTCAAATATTACGATAAAGAAATCAACGATTGTGGAAAACAAAATTCAAACAACTTATCGCATGTCAGTTGCCACTCACCGAATGATTTTTTGTTAATTGCTCAGTGGACTGGGTCGTGTTGCTCTTGGAAAAGTTTTTTGATCCGACTCCAGACGGGAGGGTGCGGGAATGCTTCGGCGGATAATTATACGATCTGCAATGATCAAAAGCGGTATTGATTATTAAAGAGAACTGTAACTTAGTAGATATTCTTTATTATAACAAAACGTTTTTCTCAAGAAAATGTTGTCCGGGCTCGGTGGCCTAGAGGTGCCTCTTTGCGTCGCTATTTTTACCAATTACAGTATTACAAGAATTTTATTTATTAATTAACAATCTGCGCTCGAGAATTAGAGAGAAGCCAGACGGCGATAAAATGATAGAGTTGTCTGAGCGATAATTTCACACAGCGGCATCGGCCAAGCATTTATATTGGACAATATCAACAATTCTACCCTTCCTGCCATATCCTAAATCATTGATTCACATTCATTTAGGAGTAATCCTACTCTATTACTATTTCAAGTGTTTTGTTTCGAGACAAAATGTATGCGATTCTCTCTTAGGTAGCTGGGGTCTTCCCAAGACCAGCCAGACAAACTCGAGCACGAAAGAAGCGAAGCCATAGATTCGAACTATTGGAATACACAAAGCTTTACTGCGAAGCTCCGCTGGTCGACAGCAATAACGGATATCGTCGAGCGCTGCACCTTGTGTTAAGGTTTATCCGTTCTGACTCGATTCGCAGGAACAAAGGACGCCGGGAGCTGCGTTACCGCCACAGCCAAAGCAATCATCAAAGCGGCAGCTAGGGATCTGAGGGGCTGAGGGAGCTGCTCTCCGTTTGAAACTTCGCGTGAAGCTGCTGCTAGCCGCAGATTCCGGCAATCAGCAGAGAACCCAGTCGCTCAGTAAAGTTTAATTATGGCCATCACTTGGTTCAGACGAGCGTTACGTTAAGTTGAATTGAAAAACTGGAGCAGCAACCAAAGGTATCGAAAGATAGTTAAGGAGTCCCGTGGGATGTTGTTGGGCTTTATAGAACCAGCAGGGCTAAAGCGAGCTACTGCAGGGTCCTGAGGTTGCTGCCTACCAAATGGCTGCATCTTTTCATTAGGACAAGAGCATGCCTCAGCGGTAGTCACGGCGGAAGCAACATATATTATATAGGTTGCAACACGAGCAATGCAATATAAGAAGCTGCCGGAAATGCTCGACATTCGAACAACACGTTAATGGTTTCACGGCAATGCACGTAGGCTATGGTGTACGTCCATACGACGCGCTTTTCTACGACGCGGAGTGAGATCCAGGCCAAGCTTGCCGTTGTTGAGCTTATCCCATGCTCGATTCCACAACTGTCGAATGCTAAATCAATCTGCTCTGACTGTTTCAGATGCTCACTTATAGAGAGCGAGCGAGTGTGCAAGTAATAAAAGAATAATGACTTCTGAAAGCACTAGAGCTGTCCAATCCAGTACTTCTGACATTGGAAATACTGCATTGCGGACCAATTTTGATATTATCACAGATATAATGGCAAGCGGCTTAGGGGATGTAGGGTAAGTGTGAAATAAGCTCATTCATATTATTAGGGAAAATCACAGATTATGAGTACTAGCTGGAGACTGGTACCCTACTCATGCCCATCGCGGCTTCGGTGAATTCGGTCAAAATCTGATACAAAATTATGTTCTTTGTGATTTTTTGCTTAGATATAGCACCAAACACTCTAGTTCAGTACAAAAGGACTAAAATTTAGTAACGCATAGTAATGATGGTTACGGGTAGAAAAACCACCCACGGGCAAATTCTTCGGTATTTTCTTAAATCTGTCAATTCTGTGCTCTGTATTTATCTACCTCTGAAACGAGGACGCTGAATAAACTCGATACTAATGTGATGGTACTGAGGCAGTAATCTATTCTTATCTAATGCTCCTATTTGAGAGCTGACTTCATATATACACTTTTTTTTTCAGAGTAATAACGCCTCATTTAACTACCTTCTGGAGAAACTTTCCATATCGTATCATACGATAGAACGGCGCAAGTACAAAAACTAAATCTTATTCATGGACTTTACTGGTCGGGTTATGCCACCCAAAAGCAAGTCAGTGCCTTTTTTTCATTTGGACAATAACAATATTCTTTGATGAAACTAAGCATGTCCAAATACAGTATGTCCCACCTGAATCGACTCCTTTCAGGCGAAAAATCGACGCGAGGCCTTATCGCTAAATTGTTGGGCCTTATAGCCGGAGCCGCCCGGCTTGTGACATGCGGCCCAGCTGTTCCATGCGTGCCCATCGCACGCGGTGCGCCAGAAGGCGTCACGTCGTCTAGGGGGACTAGACAGGTGTCGAACGGCTGAACAACACCGGGACCGAATGGAGTCACAGGGCTTAAGCAGCCCGAGTATTCGCTCGCGGTTGGACTGTAATTAGATAGAAAAAAGAGGAGAAATGACCATAATAAACTGAACATGCTTGCCTTCAGGATCTAATATATTTGTTATCTTTCATTTCGTCATCAGTAACTAACAGCTAATAATTAACAGTTGTTTTCTTATCGTACTTGAATATTGAGACATAGTAAAAAAGAAATTAATGTAGCAAGAATTACAATATAACGATGCTATCAGACATAACTAGGAATTAGATGATAATCAAATAGCATCTGTTTTTATCCTTGTTGTTGATCGACTGTTTATTGCACATAGTGATTTAAAAAATATACTTCAGCTGCATAGCTAGATAGGGCAAACAGATGAACTACGTGCTGAAGTAGTTCAATACGTAGTATGCCTTACGGAGTGTCAAATGCGCTCTCATTTTTACAAGTAGTTAAGGGAAGCACGAGTGATGCCGATAACATTGACATACGATCTAAGAAGGGAATATGAATAAAGATACTTCTATATAAAGACACAAAAAAGCAGCGACTTGCTTGACCCATATATATATATATATATTCTGGCTGTGTGTAATCTCACAGGACTCGTTCTTGCCTGAGGGTGGTCAGCACGCTTAAAGTGTTTCATTTATTCTCGTAGGCGCTGACCGCCGTTGCAAGGCAAATCTTTTCAGAATGGCAATATTCGGACCTCGAAGTAGGACAGAGTCAGTGACGGGTGAAATAAATGACAAAAAGAATGAGGAAGGTCGAGACGAGAAAATTGAATACGAGCATTGCGGAATCAAGCCGTTGGTTCCCTAACGTTCTCAAGTGGCTTCCCAGCCGGTCAGCGTTCCAGAGAGCTCCTTTCTACTTAATTATCGAGCTTGTTCGTATGACACGACGACAAAACTGCTAAAGACCCTTGGAAAACGCCAACACGTGGGACGCAAAGATAGCAAAGAAGAAGGAGGTCATAGGGAACGACTACGAAGAGATGACCAACGAATTCTGACCGTTGTCGTGGCTCGTCTACCGCTGCCGCCTTCATCACCGCCATCGTTCTTATCACATCCCGCTACGGTGGCTGGCAACGTTCTGACGGCAACACATCCGCTGACGCCTGCAGCTACCATGAGCGTTTGCTACTCCTATTACTACTACAACTTTCCAGTCGTCGACCTAGCATAGGCAACAAACGAGGAAGCCACTGCGAAAACAAATGAGGGAGATCTAATTTCAACATTTTGCACTTGATCGTAGTTATTTAGCCAGCAGTGAGCTGCTTTGGCGTTCAGCTACTACTGATGTAGAGTAAGGCTGAACTGAATAACAGCGACGGCCCCCCTTCAGTACGATTAATGTGCGAAAGAGAGACGGAAGGAGCTATAGGACTGCCACTAGAGAAGAGCTTGACCGAGAGGGCCGCTGTGCCGCTGCTGCTATTAGAGTGGTGCGTCCGGCTAGGCCGGCTGACGATTCTCATTTGGCCTTTCTGCCGACACCGTCGCATTCTAGCGCGGTATGGACGAAAAAGAATTTTCTTCTCATCGTCTCGCTCGACCCCTTACCCCGTGCCCCTAAAGCCTCAATCCTCTCTTTTGCAGCAGTTGATGTCGTCCTGTCTGCTTACCACTCGTTCGAGCGTGCTGTCGGGAGCTGTTACTGCCTGCCGACAAGTTAATCCCTGGGTAATAGAATATCTGAGGCGGATCCGCCAGGAGCAACCACGAGGAGCCGGAAGGACCGAATGGCACCCGATGTGTCCGTTGTCTGCGGCGACACTAATCTGTTTATAGGCAGGTCTCCAGGCCTCTGGCAGGGGCAGCTCGCCTTTGCCAAGAAGTGGTCCTAGCGATGGCGGTGGATGTGGAGAGGTGCCGACATGACCTAGTGGAAACCAGCCAAAACCAACTAAAGTGCTACAGCACTAGTTCGCTATTGAGTTTTCTATAGTTGCGCTCGTCAAAGCACTAAAAGTGGCAGCGTAAACGTAGCAACAAACACTGTTGCTCCAGCGGAAGCCGCTGCACTACCGCTGATCGAAAACACTCTTCAAGAGGTCAAAAGGACGGCCACGGAAACGAGAGGACGAATCGGCCAGCTGGAACGCCGAAGCGGAAAGCTTTCACAGATTCTGAAGGAGGTTGATAGGAGAGATACGGGAGAATGAGCGATCATAAAACTAAAGAATATGGTGGAGGCGATAAAAGCAGACGGTTAGTCAACTGAAACAAGTTGCCCAGAAGCCATAAGTATCACCTTAGTGGCTGAAATGGCCAAATTGCCGTAGCTGTTGCGATACACATAATTTCACACACCTTCTCAGCCAAAGTTGAGTCAAGGTAATATTGAATTAAATAACAACACGTTTTTTTATAGTGGATATTCAGCAAGAATCGGAACTGAGATATCTCTTGATATTCCCTTGCTATATTAAAAGACCGTTCGCTTTATCGGTCAGCCAGCCGGGAGACGACGCAGTATTGTCAGCGTCTATGCGCGTATTCCAGAAACTAGCTTAGACTGTGCCGGTGTACAAAGTTATGCTTTAAAATATTCGTCAAGCAGAAATTTCTAAGGGCAATAGCAAATTAGCAAGGAAGAATCGTCATTGTAATAGCTGGCGTACCATATTAATGTGGTGGCCTTTAAAGGGTAGCAATAGGACAACTGCAAATCAGTCTACGACACGGTAGCACGCACCATTTTTCAATAATTTAGATCTTGCATAGATCATTCTGTACTCGATAAGGTAAACACCTATCGGCTTTGTTTGATAGCCTGAATACCACTTAAAGGGTTCGTCGCACAATAAGATGTTGAAATATCATTATACTTGGACTATATCCAAAGGTAGCGTTGCCGTTGTGACTTAGTTGGTACAACTAATCTAATTATAATGCATCGTAGACAGATTTAAGCGTTACACAAAAATTATCATCATCGCTGTCCTAGTCACTAGTGCTTCCAGTTAATATATTGACATTTATCCGTCATCAAGTTATATCCGAAGCTAGGCGATCATTACTTATGTATGAAAATATATACGAGGCTAGCTACCGTATCGCTTCCAAATACCCCTCGCGGTTTTTGATTCTGTGCTTTGCGCACAAACTCATATATTATCCGCGACAATAACGAAGATTGTAATAAGGCTTCTGTGGAACGATTATTAATAAAAGACATACATTACTTAAAAATAGACCAGGTTTAACTTTCAAACCGGGATCCGTTTATGCAGCAAACGGATAATTGTGTGTCCAGGGTGAGACGTAAACGTGAACCAGTTCTCCCACAAGTTCGCGTACCGTTTGCGCTCTTGTAGGCGCTTTACGTTCGTTCTTGTGTTCACCGACTCATTCGTTTTCTTCCTTTCGTCTCATGCTACACTACTAGGATCGTAGGATATCCGGAGTCCATTCCGTTGTCGTTATTGCCGTTATGGTCGTTGCCGCCGTAACAGCGAATGAAAAATGCCATGCACAAACTTGTGAATGGCAGCGCCACCACGGCGAAATAAGACCGGGGCAACTGCGGTCGGTCTGTCAGGTAAGCTGCCTGGGCGACACCGGCTGAAGCATCCGGAATGTCCCGCTGCCTTCCTGCCTGCAGTGTTTAGGGCGCTGCCGCGACTCTCAGTCATTAGCAGCGTCTCCCCTGAGATAAGTCCGGAGGAAAGTGGATTTGTCAGTCAGACGGGCGGAGTGCCGCCTGCAGAGTCAGTCATTCCGCCACTACATGTAGCGTTTTTCGTGGTACATATCGACTTCCTTCACGTCAGGACCGACATGACGCCCGAGTTCCAACAGTCTCCTGCAATGCCGCACTCCGGTCTGCCTGCCTCTATTACCACCGGTACCGGCGACTCTAAGTTTTGGTAGAGCGAGTGTAACAGCGGTGTTTACCGAAGAGATGGGATACACAGGCCTCCGACAAAAGAGTTCATAACCGCTCCTCGACCATGTAACCCCAGCTCCATGCTCTGTTAACCACCCTTTCTTTCTCTCTCTGTTTGTTTTTGCGTTGCGCAATGAATGCAACTTGCTTTTTCGCCCGGGCAGTTGTCGGGGGTGTGCACCCCCTTGCCACTGGAGACTCAAACATGTCATGTTGGCTTCTCCTGCATCCGCCACCCGGTCCACCATCGAGAGCCGAATGAAACTTGCACTGACTCGAGAAAAAGACAGCGATCCGCAGGCCGCTAACAGGGCAATCTTTCTCTCGCGTATTTAATTCTTCTATAGTTTTCTTCATGACACACTCGTACCATGCGAAAAAGAGAGGGAGAAGGTGCTAACGGAAAAACAAACGGACATCGACGTCTGCTAACATGGCTCACTGTGTTCACCACCCACAATCCTACCAGGATTCACGACCAGAAAGGCAGCATTCAGAAGGACTATCGGGACACAAATCCAACGAACTTTTACTACTCTTCACGTGAAGAGCGTCGTAGACTAGTAGAGAAATGATTCGTACAGCATGCCCCAAGAGAGAAAGAAACAATTCGTCATAGACTCGGAGAGTGGATTCAAGCCAGAAAAACAAGGGTAAACTGGTTGTCACTTATTTTCACTCGGTTTCTTAAAAGAAAAACAATTCCGTATCTGTGTTGAATTTCGAACAGTAATATAGGGAAAAAGCATGAGAATGTTTGATGTGACCTTGCAGATATAAAAGCGATAAAGTGTATATACTTAAGCACTGAAAAAAAATACTAAACTTGACCACACTAACTTTATCGTCATTGACAACATACCCATGTGAATGGGTTCTCTAATAATTGAACCAAGCTGATTGCTGGAGACTTTAAATCGTTTACTTATGCTTCATGACCATATTTTGCGATAACTGCATCTTGCGTTACGTAAACGTACATGAGAGACAATAACAGACGTACCTGTAGAGTGTGTGCGCGCGTGGAATTCGGTTATTAAAGTCAACATTGCGTGAATGTGACCGAGGAGTTTGGGCCGCCTCGAGAAGATCGAGCGTTTTTGAAGATGGTGAGCGGCGGCAGCATCGGATCGAACAGATGACACAGGCGATAAATAGCACGATACAGAGGAGAACGATGACGGCGACTAGGATGATTAGTTCTTCGCGATACGTCGGAAAGCGGCCTGCGCGGGTTATTGTTGGACGGGTCATTAGATCGACCTGATGTTCCGCACTAGAACGATGCGAGTACGACCAAAATATCAACGAGTCATAGATGCACACGAAGAGCACCAATAAACGTTATGTAAAATAGAAAAGAGACAAAAAGCAAAAAAAAAAGATTAATTATTATGGATATTATTTGGTAGATAGTCGAACCACTTCTATCGATGACGGACAAGATCTTGTTGTCGCTGCATACTGTCGTTTGAGAATTTTTGTGATATTCCTAAAACGAACAGCTAGCCCTACTATTACTAATTGTTGTATTCTATCTAACATTCGTTGGAAAGTATCACCTTTGGATTGAAGGTTAAGGTAAGGATTACTGTTGGCCGAATATGGTTTTGTCCGATTTGACATTTTAACTTATTACGCAGTGCAATACGATAGTTCTCAAAAGATTGTGGAATAACTGTGGTTATCAGTTTTTATAATTCTTTGATTAGATAGATTTTTACCTTAAAATAAAGTGTGATTTATATTACAAATATTATCCACGAGGTTCTGTCTCTTTTTTCTATAT